AAACTACAGTTCACAATGTTTTCTATAAATGTTAGTTGGGTACAGTACAGAGTCCGTGTAGTTTTAGACAACACCCGTCGTTTTCTAGTCTGGGCATAACAATACACGGATTACCTATAGAAAAAAACGAGAAATGTGTACCACCCAAAAGGAGCAATTAAAAACTGGACATAAAGTTTCAGTATTAAACTATCACAAATAAATCATATTTAAAGGTTCCTTTAAACTATTAGCACACAACCCTAACCTATAAACATAAAAAAAAAATTATTAACGCTTGGAGCTGCTGGTCCATACTTGATAGTAAGCTTTATTTTCCTTAAACGAACGTATGCATATTATTTTCATAAATATTTATATCATCCACCTGACGATGCTATCGTAGCCATCCTTCCGTTCCAATTCCTTCACTTATTAAATGCGCTTTAAATAGTACTTCTATTATTGAATTGTTTGGCATAGCTTAAACAAACAACATAAAACAGCCTGGGCTGCTCATTACATCAGTCAGTCAGTATCATCAGTCAGTCAGTCAGTATCATCAGTCAGTGAGTATTATCAGTCATTCAGTATCATCAGCAGGGTTTCTTTCAGGCATCTCTCTGGAAAAGGGGGAGGGGGGCAATACCCCGGGGAAAGTCAAGTGCCCCCACCCCCGGAGCAAAATGAGTATAAGTCTGAAAAGGAAAGTTAATTATTTCGGCCAATCGATGCGACATATGCTCTCATTTTTTTTCTACGCATCACGGTCAGATGACCTATTATCAGATTATTAGTGGCTGATGAAGTCTATCGTTAGAACTGTCGCCGCTTTTCATAGCTCAGTTTGTTACTAGTAGTCGTGCAGCGCTAAGTAGTTCCTAACATCTGCATTATTATTGAGCGACGGCCATGAATGCCATCTGTACCTACGCAAACGTGTTCAGTGTTCACACAGCAGTGTAAAATATAGCAGACTACGCGACTCTGATTTCTGATTCCATTCCTTGTCTCCCAATCGCTCTCTCCATTCCCAGCAATATCCCCACTCATTTCGGTCTCCATTGGTTATATGCATCAGCTGACCGACCTAACGTTTGCTATAGTAAACTGACAGGAGAAACGATTGGCCTGACTTGTTAATGCTTCTATTCTACATTGCATTTGCATGTTGTTCTTTTTTAAATAAATAACAATATTAAAATATCTTATTTCCAAAAAGTATAAAATAATAATAATAATTAATGATGGATTAATTCCATTAACTTTTTGTAATAATCAACAATCGGTTATTTCGTTCAAAGGCAAAAATATGGAATTTTAGCGCCTAGCCCCTTTAAATTGACGTTAAATGAACTGATGTTAAATCGAAAACCTTCTGATTGTTTTGACCAGAGAAGGGTCATTTGTAAGAGAACATGCCGATATATATTTTATTATTGGAGTACGTAAAAGCAAGCACGAAGAGTCAGTGTGTGCGGTAAGATGTGGTGTATTTAATCGTTAGAATATGTCAATACAGGTGTTGCGACTGTTAAATGTTCAGTTATGCATTGGTGTTTTGGTGGGGGGGGGGGGGGGGGTAGATGATAGAGTGGGTTTCGTTTTTTTACTGTTAAATGTCCGGCCAGGCATTTTGGGAATGTGTAGGCAAAGAAAAACCTTAGTGTTGGAATGGCAATCAATAAATCAGGGGCAAAGTTTAATTATGACTTTCATGACTTGAAATTTTTATATTGACCCAATCAAAAATATAACTGTATGGGATATTAACTGAGTTGAAAAGGACATATGATTGGATACTCTCACCGTAGACTTGTAAAAAAAAAAAAAAATCAGATTAGAAATGTGAAACCAAAAGTTATTCGATTGTTTAGGGATGGTGATATTTGCTGGTCAACACTAAATAATGATGATGCACAATGATTTGAAAGAAGAAAACGTATCATCATACGCACGTTAAAAATGAGTGCAAATGAGAAAAAAAGTTCATGCATTGACATGTATGCAGGGATTCTTTCAGGCATATCTCCGGGGGCGGGGGGGGGGGTGGGGGGGTGGGGGTGATGCACCCTCTTCACCTCTCTCTCATATGGCATTTTCTCTAAGTGTCCTGCCCAGCGTAGCCTGCCCTTTGTTATTTCTTTATCGTGGATCCTGATATTCGATTCCTGGTTGGTTCGTAATCTTCAGCCATATTCATCCTTCGTCGGTCCACATATGTTCTCTGAGAACGTTTCTCTCCCATGTGTTTAAAAGGTTTTCTGCCGTTTTTATTAGGGTCCAAGTTTCACTTGCATATGTTACAAATGGTCTGATTACATATTTATAAATAGTTTTCTTTGTTTCTCTTGTAATGTTTTTACTTTTGAGAATTCTCTGACTTCTGAAGTATGCCCTGTATCAGGCTGATATTCTTTCTTTTATTTCTGCTAGTAATTTGTTTCTTTCATTTAATAAAGATCCAAGGTATTTGAATTGATTTACTTTTTCAAACGTGTGGTTTCTAATTTTATTGGCTTAATATGTCTGTTCTTTTCTTATCATTGTCATGGGTTTGTGTTGTTGTTTTTTTTGTTGTTGTTAAATTCCAGCACCGCTGGTAGTGATGCGTCTTCTAATTCAATAAAGGATTTTGATACGTCTTTAATTCTTTTCCCGAGCAGTGCTAAGTCATCAGCATATGCAAGATACTGAAGGGGTTTATAGTAGAGAGAGCTATTGGTTGTGAGTCTTGGGTTTCCCCCAGAAAGTATCATCGGATGTCAATACGAATACTTCTTATAACTCTCTCTAATGTTAGGTTAAATAGCATACAAGACAGTGCATCTTCTTTTTTTTTAGGCCTCATCTAATCTGAAATTCCTTTGAATATTCTCTTTGAACCTTGATTTTGCTTTTTGAGTTATTCAATATTATATGTATCAGTCTTGTCAGTTTGTTGGGTATTCCAAACTCCTGCAGAATCTCATAGAGATATTTTCTTTTGGTGCTGTCATAGGCGATTTTATATTCCACATAGAGTTGATGTACTGTTATATTATATACATAACATTTCTCTAAATCTGATCTGAATCCACAATGGTAATCATCTAGTATTTCTTCAGTGTAAGGGTTTTAGCCGTTGGGCAATTAGCTTCGTCAGTATGTTGTATGAAACATTTAATAAGGAGATTCCCCTGTAGTTTGTGCACTGAAGTTTGGAGCCTTTCTTGTGTATTGTGTATTGGGGGTTATTAATGCTGTTTCCATTATGTTGGAAGTTTCTCTTCTTGTCAAATTTAAGTTATAAGTTTATGTATCTAAGTGTATAGTTCAAGATTGACACAAGTAGAATGAATTTAGTTTAAATCTCACTGGAGCCGAATTAAAGAAGTCTTTGATCATTAGTATGGCTGACTTTGACCCTCCTTACCCGAAAGTTTGAAATGCAACCTCAAAATTGTCTGAAAGAAACACAAAATCATGTATGCACCAAAATGCACCTATGCATTTTGAGTTTGCCGGACTGTCTTAAGCACCCTAAATTTCTGTACCCCTTCACTTACGCTGATCGATGGTACAGTATGGGGTTGATTATAAGCTTGTCCCAAATGATTACTCTGGGACACGCCACACACTGAGTGAATCCAGTTTATCTATGGCACTAGGCCCCATAATGCCTCCCGTAAAACCTTAAAAAATGTCCTTCTCCCGTTAAAAAAGTAAAATAAAAAAATTGAATTCAAATATACTCAAAAATACATCTCTTGACTTTGATATAATCAAAATTTTAACTTGGCAGCAGGCTCCCCAGACCACTGCTCCGATCTGGATTCATCAGTGCCCTCAATTTCCGCCCTACCTCCCGATGAAAATGATCCCCGATTTTGGTATCGATAGATCCTCTGCCTAGTGATGCGGCAACTAGTAGTGCCGCCATTGGGTGGGCACATATGTTTGCTGTCCTCCCTTTCCCGATACAGACTCTGCAGTTTTCCGAAAATGTCGCACCTGCATATAAAGAAGAAGTGACACATAGTGACACCACCTTATTTCGACGCCCCAGGACATATGCCCCAATCTGCCCCCTTAGCTACGCCTCTGGCAACTGGCACATCCCCCCTACCCCCCCCCCACCCGAAAAGTTGAAGTACTCCCCCGGGGAAAATTGTATTAAAGAAACACTTATCATCAGTCAGTCAGTATAATCAGTCAGTCATAGTGCCACCACCTTATTCCGCCGCCCCAGGACATATGCCCCAATCGGCCCCCTTAGCTCCGCCTCTGGCAACTGGCACATCCCCCCTACCCCCCCCCACCCGAAAAGTTGAAGTACTCCCCCGGGGAAAATTGTATTAAAGAAACACTTATCATCAGTCAGTCAGTATAATCAGTCAGTCAGTATCATTAGTCAGTTAGAATCATCAGTCAGATTGTGAAAGGAAATTTTTTTTTAAATGCTCGAGATGAAGTGTCATGATCATAACCAAAGCTGTTAAAAATCTGGCTGAGCTAAGTAAAGAAACCAAGCATACACACTTGTTGCGAATTATTGGTAAATTTAGCCATACTCTTTGATTAAATTAATATTAAGAGTGATTTTTAAAAAAATAAAGTTTTAAAAATGTATCAAATGAAATGAAGAAAATTAAAGAGACACATCTAAAAAGACACCATTCTTCTTCTTATATTTTCTTCTTATATTTGAGGAGCCCACGATCAATTTGTTGATCCTTCTGGTTCCTGGTCAGAGTTTGCTAACGTGTCCCATCCACCCGGGGTACTTGGGATGTTGCCTTTGGTGGGGATTGAACTCCAGACCACCAGCTATTTGGTTTGAGACAGTTTAGACCGCTCGGCCACCCAGCACCCAGTAATTTAGGATAAACATTTAAATAGACCTAATTATAGAGCCAATTGACTTTTTAAAAATAATTTTCAAACATTATTTTAGACTTGAACATACGTCGATGTTATCAAATATTTCTCTCTTTTTTTTGTGTGGAGACCAATCCATATCTTTATTAAGGAATTCTTTTTCATGTCATTTCAAGATCCATGTTACCAATAACAAGAGACGTACCTATCAACAACTGAGAGTTCAGTTGACAAACATCTCCACCATAGCCGATGTTAGTTGAGTCCGATAAGACGTAAGATGACGTTATGACGGTACACACGATAGTCATTGGGAACGACGCTGACGCGAGAACGCGTTTGAGGAGAACGAGGTTCAGGGTGTCCGATGTCGCCTTGGTGCTACGTGTCTTGGCTGAGAACACTCTGAACATGTGGAGGCTGCAGATGAACGTCCACGTGAACATCCACAGCCACATAAAGTGGTTGGCTACAGCCAGGAATGTACACAGGGTGCTTGGCCCTGATCTATAATGAGGAAAAAATATTAATAGTTAATACGATATCATTGTTCTATTGTTGCTCAAATTATATAATATCATTTAATGCATGTTATAGCTTGCTTTGAAATAAATGTATACCATTGTTATTGTTTTTTCTGTTTTTCCTTCCAACAAGATGTTTATGTTAAATGTGATCAAGTTTTGACAAGCAATACATTAATTTATGTATTTTGACTAATCGCCACAAACACTATGCATCTTAGATTTAATATGTTTACAACTACAGGCAAAGTGTAACATCTCTACCGTTACTAGTTTCTGAGATCGCTACTAACTAAAATGGCTTACACGTGAGAGCACGCCAGAAGTAACCCCTGTGCTAGCAGCAGACTGGCGCTGAGGCACGTGTTATTGGTTCCAGCCGTGCTTCGCAGGGCCGAAAACTGAAAGTACGTGAATACGGTCATCACGAGACAGAGGATGGAGATGACCAAGCAGGCCAACGATACGATGTACTGGACCTGTGGAACAATGGCGCTGCCTGATTGACCGTCGAAGCCCGTGGCGTCTAGTCTTTCGTGGTCCAGAGTGGTCAAAATTCTGTCCAGTAGTTCGTGGCAGACGTCCAGCTCGCCGTTATCATGTAAAGCCAACTGGTGGAGATCAGTGACATCAGAAATGACAATGCTGACGCTATGTAGATTTATTGTAATTGAGATGTTCGGGGGAACACTTGCGTTTTCGATACGAATGAGGTAAAATGGCGTCTTGAACGTCACGTATCTGCAAAGCAAAACCTGAGATACGTTGATGAAACGAGTTGTTGGTTCATACTTGGCGAGTCTCTCCAGGTATGTTTTTGTTTCAGTTATTTTGGGCACGCATGGAGAATCTTTCTCAAAGCTTTTAATTAGATTACAAGGTGTGTCACTGCTCATCTCTTCAATCATCGGCCGTGCTCGATACGACAGGGTAATATTTGTATCTAGTTCAATAATAACATTTCTCGTGTAGAATATGTTGATCATGGACAACTCGTAATCGTCTCTTGAATAGTTTTTGCTGGCGATAATTTTACAGTCAATCCAGTACACAGGTAAGCGGCTGTTCAAATCTGAGGCAGGTAAAGTGTACAAATACCAGATTTCAATACGGTGTCCTCCACTTTTCTGTTGAATAGTTCCATGTATCTGAGGTAAAACAAAACAGAATCAACAACAACAGAGGCTTAAAAGAATGGCATAAAACCAATGTTTATAAAAAAACTAACAAACAATCACACACAAAAAACAAAAAGTCAAATGATTTTGAAATTTTTTTGAAAATTTAATGAATATTTATGAAAATAATGTCTGTCTGTCAATTCAAAATATTGATTTATCATTAATTCATTCTTACACACATTTAAATATTTAACATTAATTAAAAAAAAAATAAGTTACAATTGATAACCAAAAAAAATATTTTAAAAGTTTAAAGAAACAATTTTTAATGAAACAATAATGAAATGAGCTGATACAATTACAGGTGGTAAGATGTTAAAAAGAAGAATATACACCTTTGATTTTAATGCTGTTAGTATTTTTTGTCTAGATATTGTAAGACTATTCGTGGTGTTGCTAGGTTCATATCGTGAGTCGTGTAGTGGCGTCAGCCACAATTTCACGTTATAACCAAGGGCTCTCACATTTTGGAAAACAGTTTTACAGGTTTTATTTTCCATGAGTTTCCCAGGTGAACATTTCAGTGGGATGCATTTTCCCTGTAACAAAAAATTTTAACAAAATTACATGCTAAAAAAACGCACCTCCAATGGTCTGACTCGGAAAGTCCTACCACACCGCCCAACCCCCCTGGCCCCGGTCAGTCCTACCACACCGCCCACCCCCCCTGGTCCCGGTCAGTCCTACCACACCGCCCAACCCCCCCTGGCCCCGGTCAGTCCTACCACACTGCCCAACCCACCTGGCCCCGGTCAGTCCTACCACATCACCCAACCCCCTGGCCCCGTCAGTCCTACCACACAGCAAGACCCAGTCAGTCCTGCCTCACCATCCACCCCCCTGGGGACGGTCAGTCCTACCACACCACCCAACGCCTAAGTGACCCGGTCAGTCCTACCATACCACTCAACCCCCCTGGCCCCGTCAGTCCTACCACACCACCCAACGCTCGACCCGGTCAGTCCTACCATACCGTCCACCCCCTTTAGGGAGGTCCGTACTACCACACCACCCAACGCCTGAGTGACCCGGTCAGTCCCACCACACCGTCCACCCCCCTAGGGACGGTGAGTACTACCACACCACCCAACGCCTGAGTGACCCGGTCAGTCCTATCACACCACCCAACGCTCGACCCGGTCAGTCCTATCACACCGTCCACCCTCCTGGGGACGGTCAGTACTACCAAACCGCCCAATGCCCTAGGGCCGACTCTAAATAAGATTGCATTTTAGTTAGATGGTAATCGCAACGATCTCCCAAATCCACTCTTCTATATGACTGTTGCACTTTTCATTAACCTTAAGTTGAAGCCTTAAACTTTGAACCTTTACCTATGACCCTTTAATATTAAATAAGGGATTGAATGGTATTTGAAACAAAACAAAAACAACAAAAAAGAAAAAAGAGTTAAAGTTCTCCACTGGATTAAGAAGAGTTAAGACCATACAATATAGACCGTTACTCACGTCAGGAGCAGCCCACTCTGTGTCATTGCAATTCGCGAAAGAAAATTGTGCTCTCAAGGACACCGTGCTAGACACTGACTTCTTCTCAAACGTAAACAGTAGTGATAAGGGCAAAAGAACTTTTGGCGCTGGGGTCGACGATGCCCCGAGACAATTGACACGATAATGTGGAGAGATCTTCTGGTGAAGGGAAAGCGTACACATTAGTTTCTACGGGTTTGTGATAGTATTTGCTCTTTCTTATTGAGACTTGGTTAGCAATATTAACGCGTAGGCGTAGCAATTATGTTCTTAAGATAAAGAAAGTTTCTTGACTGTCTACGTAATGGCAATATCACCTAAATGAATGATGCTAATGAGCAGGTCGTATTATTTAGTGACAAAATCAGAAGTTCTCTTTTTGTGTGGTTTCAAACATTTTTATAAAACCCATTCAAGAAGACATTTCTAATCATTTCTTTTTCTGTTACTCAAAAAAAAAAAAAAAAGAAAATATAAAAGAAAGAAACCCCATTTTAATTTAAAATCAGAAGTTTTCTTTTTGTTTGGTTTCAAACATTTTTATAAAACCCATTCAAGAAGACATTTCTAATCATTTCTTTTTCTGTTACTCAAAAAAAAAAAAAAAAAGAAAATATAAAAGAAAGAAACCCCATTTTAATTGACATCTTAAGATGTTATCAACTTACTGTGTTACACACAGCACAAAATATGTTCGCATACGTTCTGCCTCCTTGGATGACGTGATATGCGTGTCCGGAGAGTTCAGCGCATGCGTTAATCAGTTCGCTATCGTCCGTTGTGTCGTTAGGGCAGGTGCTGATCGCAGCTTCTCTGTAGCAAGCAGATTAACCAAATCATGTTTTCATTCAGATTTATCATATCATATCGTATCATATATATGTATAAATTGAATGTTTGTTTGTTTGCTTGTGGATTTGCTCCACATACATTTTTACATGGATAAATGAATCTTGACCAAACTTGGCACATATATCCATCATTATCCGGAAGGAACACTTAAATGGGTTTTGGACTTTTTATAACATTTTGTTTGGGGCCGGGGGCTATATAAATAAAATTAACAACAAATACTCCTACATGAGAAGATGGATCTTGACCAAACTAAGTACGCATACACTTGATTATCCATATTCAAATACCTAAGGGTACTGAACTCAAAATAATATATTAGTAAAACAAAGTAAGGTTAAACCTGAAAAAGGAACGCAACAAAACAAGGAATGGGGTTTGGATCCCAATGGGGTCCAAATGCCCATGGGGATAAGGATCCCAATGGGGTCAAGATTGTAATGGGGTCGAGTTCTCATATGGGAACCCATTTTTTAACGGGATTCCAATCGGGATCACACCGGGATCTGGATCCCATTGCGATCGGGTTACCGAAAGGATAGGGATAACAATTGGATCGGGAGGCAGTCCCGGGCAATGCCGGTATATTGGCTAGTAGTACTAACAATAATATTGCAACTTTAAACAAGTTGTGTTATCGTGAAATACTCACTTGAAAAAGTCCTTATTGCATGGAGTTGGCTCAAACCCTTTCGGGAGTTCTTGTTTAACTGCACACCAGGAATCGTTTAGAAGTGCAAGTCTCAAAAAGTCATCCCCATCTCTTGCCGTGTACACAGACATATAGTTCTCACATTGGATGTTGATGCTGAAGGGTAAGGTCTGAAATTGAGGTGTGTTTTAAAAATTCGTACGTTTCCATTGACAGTCAAGCCGCACACATGGACTGCAGCTCTTTTAAGTCGTATTATGCTCAGTTGACACGATCAAATGTTTGTCAGATTTTCGTCAAATTTATTTTTGAACGTACTATTTTGTTTTAATAAATTGTGCGCTCAACAAGAAATTTGACGAAAATTTTACTTAAATTTGATCGGGTAAACTGAGTATTAATAAAACAAACATGTGTTTTTAATTAGGGAATAAATCTGATACACAACATTGGGATGATTTATTATTTTTTAAAAGCACCATGAAATTCAAATACACATACAATTTTACCTGAGCGACTCCGTTACAATGTGCGCAGTATTTGTTTTTGTAAACGGCATCTGTCATAGCGTCCATTACTTTGGTAAACAGCTCGACAGTCATGTCGCTACTGGGAATACTCTTTTCACAGTAGTCCACAGTCTGGTTGCTGCCATTAAAACGATTAGGGCAAGATCTAATGAAGGTGTATGTCAGTCCACCTGGATCTATGTCGCACCCTAATTGGGGACGCTCTTCCCCAGAACGTCTTGTCGCGTCATCATCTGTGCCATTTTTGGCCCTGTTCACGTAGTTATATAACTCGGGATTCTCCTTCAGTTTTTTCGTTTTAAGAATTTCACTGAGTGAGAACAGCCCGTTGTTTAAAGCAGTGGGTGGGCTGTACGGTTCTGAAATATCAGGGCAGCAAAAGTCATACGTTTCGCATACGGGTCTTTTACATACACACGGCATGCACCGAATGTTCGGGCATCTCCGCTCGAGGTCGTTTGTGAAAACGAGTGTGCCGTTCTTACACCTCCTCGGGCAGAAACTCTGCTGGTAATCTTTGGGTGATGTGAAAGATCTGTTCCACAGGTAGGTCACCACTGCCGTCACACTGGCACTATCCCCAGCGGTGCTCACATAGTTTTCTGTTGACCCCGGAGGCGGCATACTCGAGGTAGTCACGCCCAACGTACCGACATCGTCCTGCTTAAATGTATACTGAAAGTCATCCGAGGACAACTCCTCATACTGATAGTCACTGGGGGTTGAGATGGTGCTTGCTGACTCTGTCTCGCGTCCTCCGTCTGTTGAATTACT